TAATTTTCTCTTGCTGCTTTTAAAAATAATTTATATGCTTTAACATTATCTTCATTTATACCAATATTAAAATAATAAAATAATCCTAGAAACCATATATATTTTAGACCTAATTGCTTTTTTAACCAATTTAAAGATTTTTAATTTGGTTTAATCATGATATTTTTTGTTTAATAAAATGATTAATTTGATCATAAGTGATTTTTTCATTATGTTTTTTAAGTACAAATTTAATTAATTTTTCAACAGTTATATGATTTATAAATATTGAATCAATTGAGTCTCTTGATTGATTATTAACTTAAAAAATTGAAGTTAATAAATGATTTTTAAAATCAATTATACTTGATTTAATAGATATTTTACTTTGCAAACTTGAATCGCTTACATTTTCATTCTTATAAAATTTAAATTTTATAGGAATTTCTAAATCTTCTAAGTCCTCATTTTGTTCTTTGCTTGATTTAAAGTTAGATTTATTTATTGTTATCAAATTAATAAATGAGTTATTTTTAAAATCTATCATATTTGATTGAGATAATTTTATACTTTGCAGACTTGAATTGCTTACATTAACATTATTCTAAAAATTAACCTCTTCAGATATTCTAAATCCTCTAAATCCTCATTTATTTCTTTACTTGATTTAAGGCTAGATTTACTTTTTATCGGTAATTCAATAACTTCGATAAGATCAGAATCAATCGTTTCGCCGTTATCAAAAGAAATAATTGTTTTAAGAGTTGAAACGACTTTTTTTATATCTGGACGTTCATCAATTTCGTATTTCCAACATTCTAATTGAAACAAATAGGGTTAAAAACATTTTTCAAAGTAAAGATTATAATTTATATTAATTACCTTGATATAGATTACTATTCAGGTGGAGTTTCGTTGATAATTTTTTCTCTCATTCCATTTAATATAGACAGAGTTAAACATTCATCGTAATAAAGACCCTTAAATGGTTGATACCCACTTGAAATTTGTCACATCAAGATTCCAATACTATAGACATCGGATTTTTATTTAATTTATAATTCTTATTATTTCTATCTAAAATTTTTGGATCCATATAAGGTAATAAACCAAATACATTTGATGCATTTTTTGACTCTTCAATTTTTTTGGATAAACCAAAATCTGCCAATTTAATAATTTTCTGAATTACAAGTATATTTTCCGCATACTATATTTCATTAATGAAGAAAATATTTAATTATTCAAAGTCGATAAAATAAATTAATATAAAAAATTAATAGTTACCAAATCGCAATGAACAATATCACAATCGTGTATACATTCTACTGCACTCACTTGACAATTGAAAAGCTAGCTGATATTTATCAAGGTCATTAAAATGTTTATTTAAGTAAGCATTTAATGTTCCATTGTCAGCATATTCCAAACTAAAGAGCACTAGTTTATTTGATGAAGTGCACTTGATATTCATAAAAACAATAAAAACGGAGATAAATAAATTAATTTAGCATATTCGTCAAAAATTTAGTAATTATCTCCCCAATTTCTATCAGTTCCTTCTTTTGTGATCCCACAAAATCGCAGAATATTTGGATGAAATCAACTCTTTTATGTAATTTTATCTATATAAAGAATGATAATTTTAATTTTAATTTTGTTAATATTTTAACCAAGTATAATTATCTTACCTCATTTACAACTTCTTTCAAAGTTATTATATCGTTATTGAAAGATTTCAAAGCAAAAATACGATCCGGTTTTTTCCAATTAGCACTAACAACATTTCCAAAAAAACCATTTCCTAATGGTTGTAAATTGAAGAAGTCCGAATATTCATAATGACCATTCGATATAAAAATTTGATTTTTCAAGGATATCTGACAAAATTTAAATTTTGCTTGAATATTTGGTAGTACCAGTTAACGCAAATCTCGTAGCACAACTATTTATAGTTGAATCCAGTAGTATGCAATTCTAATTAATACAGGGTTATCCTCGTCAGACAGTACTTAAAATTTATTAAAGTTAATTTTGAATTAAAAATTGGTGTTAACATGATCATATGAGCTTAGTAAATAGTGGACTCAAATTATTTTATATGTTTTGTAAACGCTATCAAATCAATAAAGATCCTGATGAAGCTGTTAAAGTATTTAAAATTTCGCAATTCAACGTCAAGTTTCATCAATTGCACTTCCAAATAATGTCTATTAGATAATAAAATGTACAGTATTTCAAATCAAATTAGCTTAGCTATTTATACATGCCACACTTTGAATGTAGAAATACAAAAGTAGTATAATTGCAATGTAGCTAAAGATCAAATACTTTTCATTATTTGTGCCTTACTAATTTTATTATTTGTGTAGAATTATGAACACCACTAGGAGCAATGATGAGTATTAACAGCATTGGAAGAAACATGTTCTTCCGATGTAGCAATATGAATCGTAAATGATATCTTGGATGCATCAAAATTAGAAGCAAAAATGAATTATTATGGTAAAAGAATTGGTACAAAAAAAAAACAGGTTGAATTAGGTTTCCTTGCCGAAATATTGTATGCCCAGATAGGTATGGTTTATAAAATTTTTTCTTTGTATAAATCTTTTATGATGAATTTACCGTCTAATTCGTTAAATCTGATCTGTTGCTTTAAAAACAATTTTTCCTTTATCTGCCATACAAATTACATTATTGGATCAAAACTTGTTTTAATAGTTTTAATTATGACAATTAAAAGATTAGGAACGACAAATGACCTCAAATGATAAATGACAAATGACTTGTCATTTGGTTACTATCATTTTAATTATTATCAATACAGTAATATATATATATCGTATTATTTTTTTGTTTATTATAAAGTAAAATTAAATATTTAATATAAAAAAGATTTCTGATAAGTAGAAAAATATTTTTGTATTATAGTAGATATTATGTATTGAAGGGGCCGAAATGGGAGCAATCACTGCTATATTTTTGGAAGCGAAAGTGAAAACCTAAAAAAAAAAAAAAAACAAACAAATAAAATGATTGGCTTAAATTTAATCTGAACAAAAAAAAAAAAAAAAAAAAAAAATTAGAAGGGATCTAACATGAAAGAGAAACCTAAAAAAAAAGCAAATCCTAATAAATTAAAGAAATTATTCAAATGCTGCGCCCAGAGATATCAAAACAGAAAATAAAATAAAATAAAAAAAATAGACATTAATATCAAGAAAAACCTTACCTTATATTTGCAAAAGTGATCCAACCTGAAAAGAGATTTAATAATGAAATTTCGATTGTTGCGAAAATCTTTATTTTGTTGTTTATAGCAAATGACTAAATGACAAATGATTCAAATGACATTTTGATTTATCATTTGGGGTTTAGGATAATTACAAAGGATTAGATAAATCCTTTATATGGTCAATGACCGAACACTGGTTAGATTAATTGGAGCTAGTGTAAAGAGAACTAATTTATTTGAGACAAGAATTTCATTGGCAGACACTCATAATGACTCATTATATGATATAGTTTGTGAAGAGAAGATAAAAAAAGCTGCTAGAATTAAGAAGAATTTGTTTAAACTTTAGGTAGAACTTGTAGTGAATTCTTCCAAGGGACTCGCTAATGAGCAGAGATGTTGCAACATTACGCAAGCCAATAATGCAAAGAGATAGCTTTATCAAAATGATCTATTACTCATTGATTCAGTCCTCCATCTCTCAGTCATTAATCGGCAACTTCTGGCTTTAGAATTTGATATAATATATAAATTATATTACCTATAAAGTTAGCTGAATTCATAATACTTCTAGACAAACGTTTTCACGAAACAACGAAATTTTGTTTGATTAACGTTAAATTTGTTTGCAAAATGTAATAGGTTAAATATATTGAACGTGGTTACACGATTGCTTTATCTATATCAGTTGATGGTCAATTGCTCCTTTATCTGAACGCCTTGCTTTTCCTATTAAATCGATTGCGCCTCCGTAGAAGACAAGTACCGCTGGTAATCCAACAGGCGGAGGCTTATCAAATCATTGGTGTAAACTAAAATACTATCATCGATTTACTTCTTCCTGAATTCCAATGACCAATTGTTTTATTTTATATTGTCTAATTCTTTGTGAAAAAAGGCCACCCGCCTGGCCTGGTAACGTGCTATAAACTGAAACAACACATGTTACGAAGCGTGCAGGCTTTGGCACATCTTCAGATGGACCCGATGATTTCTGGACATTATCCACATTTTCTGGATATTCATTTTGATAGGATGTATCTTAAGTATCTAGTTTAGTCCCTCAGAATGCCATAACGGAATGTTATTATGAAGACTTACATGTATAGCTTATTGTAATTTCATTGCTTTAAACCCGATAGCATGCGATGTAGTTAAGATGTGACTTTAGAAATTTATATATGGATCATCGATTTATGGTTGTACAGTACATGCAAAACAGTATATTATTATTCTGATCCTAATTTTTATTAATATTGTCACTTTCTCTTTACAGCAAAAACTTCAATATTTTCAACCGTAAAAGATCGAGTATTAACGATAGGACTTTGAAAATCTCTAGCGACGCAACTACCATTTTGACCATTAATGATCAAATCGGTAGTGCCAAAATGAAGAGCTTGAGTTTGATTATCAAAAGCTAAACTAGGATTCTTAACCCCAACACTTTTCAATGATCTAACTTCTAAATTAGGTTCAAAAGAAAATAAAAAGGATTTAGAGTAATCTGTCCTGTCTTTAGGATCAACCTTCATCCAACCCAAAGGATTATAACCACCAACAATTTTCCCATTACTCAATTTAATCAAAGCTAAACTAGCACCTTGATCATTACATTGATTGCGAAATATACCAGAATTAAATCCATCTCTATCAGCTCTATATAAAAGGGACAGTGAACATTTTTTGGTGCCACTTTGTGATGAGAGTTCATAATTTTTAATTAAATTACTTATAGCCGTTGCTTGCTTTGATTTGATGATAACGGAATCCACTTTACCTAACCTTGGCCATAATTTAGGTTTTTTTTCCTTCATGTGATAACCCAGTACTTCATCAAATAATTCTGGTGTCAACGTTGGTCTAAACGGTCTAACCTTATTATAAAAATCATTTGAACTTATTTCAAAGAAATGAATGCACGGGATGAATTTTTCAATGATTCCTTTTAAAATTATAAATTCTTCATCTGTCCAATCGGTCGTATCAAAACTAGTTGCGGAAGTTTTTTTGGATATCGTAGGGGATTGTGCAATGCCCCATTTGATTAATGCTTCCCAAATGATTAATTCTTCGCATTGTAATGTTTCTTGATCCAAGATCGCGAACAAAATATCCTTGTCCAATTTGATGAATTCTTCTGAAGAAAATAATGCCTTTGGATCCTCGCAAATCCCTTGCATACAGTAATCCCAAAGTTTTACGTATCTTTCTCTCTTTTCAAATGTTTTTGTTAGGATTTGATAATAATTTTGTCTAACCCAATCCGAATATTTAGAAATTAAATAATCCTGTAAATGATATGATAATTCTTCAAGTTGTAATAAAGTTGCTCCAAGCAACATATCCAATACCCCTTTCCCTTGTTCGGTCACATTTGACAGATTCACAACTCCCGTATAAATGTACCTTTTTTTAAAAAAAAAGGAAAAAAAAAAAAAAAATTCAAGAAATGGATTAAAATTTCTAAGAATTCAAACAACAATGACTTACTGAAGAATGATTGGAAAGGTTTTAAAATCAATTTCCTGAATTCTAACATCGATAACATTATTTTTACCAACGACGTTTTGCCTCAAAAGGGTATCCCTAAAAAATGGGGAGCGAACGATCAAGATATTCGAATGCGCTCGAAAATTATTCTCATTAGGATAATTCCCAACTTTGATATTAACGACCTTACTTTCATTTACGTTTTCGATCAATTTTTCCAAGTCATTCGAAAGCGTTTGATAAAAATTCGTTACAACCTTCATTTCTTTAAAAAAAAAAAAAAAAATTTTTTTTGAGAAAAAGCAAAAGAAAAAAAAAAAATATTGAGTACATACAAGTGTGGTACAAATAAAAATTCAAAATAGGGAAAAGCATCATTTCCAAAATTAGATGATACTCCAAGTATTTTTTTTTTTCGTTTTAAAACAATGCGTACAGGAAAACTTGTTTGAATTTGGAAAGGTGCGATCGATAACTTTATAAAATTACTAACCACAAACTTATATTAAATTTAGCACAACGTCGTACCGCGTTACACAAGGCTGCAAATTAAAAGCACGAGACAATATTTATAAAGAATTATTTTTTGCTTCATATTTTAAATTCTCGACACAAAAAAAAAAAAAAAAAAATATAAAAAAAAAAAATAATTAAAAAAAAAATTAAAAAGAAAATTAAAAAAAAAAACAATTTATATAAAAAAAATATGGCTATAGAATTTTTATCATATTTATCTAATGATTTTTCATATTTATTAGAAAACCCAGATTTTAATTCAGACATTACGATAGAAGTAACGGGGGAGGATAATAGTATAAAAATATTTAAGGCCCATTCAATTATATTATATGCGAGATCCGAATATTTTAAACAAATCCTATTAGAAACCAAAGAAGGAATTATGAAACGAGACCCAAGTATGGTTGTCTTACGCATTACAAATATTACTCCGACCGTCTTTTCCAAGATATTAAGGTAATGAAATTTCTTTAAGCCTTTACTCTGAATCATTTTATGACATTACTAACGCTTCGTCACCTTTAGGTATATATATTCGGGAATCATTGATTTGGAGTCAACTTCGGGGGAGGACACGTTTGGACTGTTGATTGCATCTTCAAAGTTACATTTCCCCGAAGTAGTTTCTTATGTTCAAGAATATCTCGTAGAAAAACATAAGGCATGGCTATTAAATAACTTTTCCACAGTGGTAAATAGCATATTTAAATTAGAATATTGTCGTAACCTTCAAAATTTTTGTACATCATATATATGTGTTGAGGCTAATATATATCTCAGCACTAGAGATTCGTTAAAATTAAATAAAAGAATTCTTTCCTTGATATTAAATTTAGATAATTTATATATTGAGGAAGATGATGTTTGGGAATTTCTGATGAGATGGGGAATAGAACATACGAAAGTGTTATTGTCTAAAAGAGACATAACAAAATGGAACGGTGAAGATATCGAGGAATTAAGGAGTACTTTGGATGGTTTGATACCATTGATTAGATTCCGAGAGATCAGTTCGGATGACTTTTATGAAAAGATTAGGCCTTACAAGATTATTATTCCTCATGAAATTTACGAGGACATAATGGCTTATCATTTAATTGGAGCAGAAACAAAAATTGGGATGCCAAGTGGACCAAGGAGAGGATTTATTGACTCTGTTATTATAAATTCAAAGCAAGCTGCCATCGTGTCCAATTGGATTGATGGAGGAAAACCTGATGATGATATAAATCTTTTAATACCAAAGAACAACCCGTACACCTTTTCTTTAATTTATAGAGGAAGTCAAGATGGATTGAACCTGAAATCATTTAGAGAAAAGTATAAAAAATTAAAATGTTCTACAATCCTTGTAGTTAAATTAAAGAATTCTGACAAGATCATTGGTGGTTATAGTAATTATTTTTATTACTTTTCAACTAATTATAATGATGAAAGTGGAAGTTTTTTATTCAATTTCGATCAGAATATTAAATCTTGTAAAAAGATTGATGGGCTTTTCAAGAATTTATATAATGGGTTATATGATTTCAACACCCAACTCGTGTTTGCTCATGGTGATTTGACTATTAATTTCGAAAATTTAAGTATAAATTGTAAACAAATTAGTTTTAAAGAAAGAGTGCTAAAACAAGAATCAGCTTATCAAGTTGAAGACATTGAGTTATTTAGACCGATTTGGAAATAATGTTGTAAAGGTAATGTAAGAAATTGTATAGATAAAATTATTTATTTTTTCAATTTAAATCATTTTCCTATTAAGACTTTGTAGTTGTTTATAATTAATAGAATTAATAAAATAATTTTTGGAAGTTTAAATTTTAAGTTTTTATTTAGATGATGGTGATGTTTTGATCATGACTCATGAAACTTATTCAAAGTATAATATCATTTTAATATATCAATAACGAAAAAGTATTCAAAGAATCAAGATTTAGTCCCACTGGAGATGACCTTTTCCATTAATTAGCAGAACTTAAGCACTTACAGTATGTGTCATGAAGATTCAACTGATTCCGGTTCACAGCTTATTAATTTAGATCATCAAGGTTTCTTTCCTAATTATCTGCATTAGACCTAACCCTTTTATTTTTGTGCTGACTCCATTTTCTGTTATGTACTATGGTTAATCTTTCCGATCTCCTGGTCTTTATTTGACAAAAATATGCTAAACATCAAACGCTTTTATCACGCAATTTTCTTTGGAAATCTTGAATATACTTCTTGGAAACCCGGCAACCCGATGTTAGAATTGAATCGAAACTAATCTAGCCAAACTCAAATCCTACTCGGGCTAAGTTAAATTGAAGAAAAAATAGGTTTTATACGGATGAACATAGAATTTTTAAATGAGCGAATCAGTTGTCACACAGGGGACGTAAAAAAAATCTTTTACTAACAAATCTCTCTTAAATTTCAAGTATCTTTAACATGAAGCGAGACATTTAATTCTATTCTCTTTCTTGCTTCATTTCAGCTCCATTATAAAATAAATACTCTGTTCGACATTACGTTGAACTGATAAACAAGTATATTATCAGCTTTCCATTTTCTGCCCCGTCCACCCAACAAATAATATTATGATTCATGAAGTGAAATAACGTACGCTACTACCTTTCCTAGCCATTACAACATCTAATGTTTTTATGTCAAATCCATTATAGTCATTTTCGTTTCAACGTCCCTTTAACGCAAGTTTCTAAGTACATACATTATATCTTGTATATATAGTTGACTTTCCCTTCATAGGTCTCAAGTTGCGATCTTATGATTCTTTCTGCTAGTTCGTGGTTTGTCCTTTCCATTATTGGCTCTTTTGAAAATGGATGAATAATTAAACTGATATGAGTAACAGAAGCAAAATAGTATTCATCATGTGCCTAAACCCCAATCAAAGTTTTTTTACAACGATCGCTCTTCATAAAGAACAAGATCAGTAATCCAAGCCAACCGAGGTGTCTGAGGCAGGGCTCTATTAAATAACAGTATACTCACCATACTCACTTCATTATGTAGAACAACAAAAATAGTGCCAGCAACTGATAAAGCTACCTGATAAAGGAGTTCGTCATCGAAACCGTCGAAAGATAAAAAATAAAAAAGTAAAGTTCCCATTTTTTTATAGAAAAGGAAAAGACAAGAAAATTCTAAAAGAAAATATTTATCACGAAAATATTTTTTAAAAAAAATGGACTTGGAAAAGAGTAGTCAAAACGGTTCATATACTTAAAGACCATTACATCATGGAGCGTAGTAAAAAGAAATCAAACGAAATTTATATAATTGCATAGCGATCTATACATTACGTCATTGTGATTAATTTTATGCGTCGCGTCGCGTATATTACTTGTTTATCTTTTGTATTTATTTTATTAATTTATTAAGCTTTTTTTATATTTATTGATATTATGTAAGAATTTTTACTATACAGAAAAGCTTATTGGCCTAAAATAAAAATAAAACCCCATGATAAAACATATTGATTATACAAAAATCTTCCATGTACTGTATGTACAGTATGTAATAAAATTCATATAAAAAATAGGAAACTACCGAAACATTTATATTCTCAAACATAGAGAAAGTCTTTGTCTGTTGCAGAATCTATGAAAATGTAGAAGCATTTCTGATTATAATAAATAGTACAGAAATCTTCCCAAAAAAAATAAATTTTTTTTAAAATCTGGAAGTATTAAAGCCTTTTAACAATAAATAAATCCAGACTTTACGAATCGAATGAATTACTGAAATTCGTGAAATTTTGTAAGGCCGTTATCAACCAAGCTTTCATCAAGGCCAATAACGTTTTATGATTTTAATAGTTTTCCTCTGAAAAATCATATTTAGCAAATAAAGTAAAAAAAAATACCTCAAAAGATTTTTTGGCTTCCAATAACTGTTTCTAACATTGTCTCCAAATTTTTTTATTTTTTATTTTTTTTTATTTTTTAGCAAATGTATGGAGTTAATGTATCGTACAATGATAAAAAAAAAAAAAAAAAATACTACCAAACTACCAAATAAATGAGTCAATGACGTGGTATGATTCTTTCTTTTTTCTTTTAAAGGTACTGTATATTAGGGAGATGAAATATAACATTCTATGATAATACTATGATAATATTTTGTTATTGTTACAAAAGAGAAGTAATTGTTGCTATTAATAACGCTTCAGGTTAGAATTAAAAATTATTCGCTATTGTAATTGTTGTGTTGATTAAATCCATTATATTTAAAAGGTTTAATGCCGTAATTATATATTGCTATAGTTTAATTTATGAAACATTTTGAAATTTCCATTTATTTACAGTATATAGAACTCGACTGCGTGTCACTTATGGGTGTGTATACAGTTGTCTATACATGCACATGGATTCACAAACATATATGAACCTTATTATAAAGCTGGTCTGTTTTCTTGAAATTTTAGATGAGTACCAAATAAAAAAATTTGTATGCAAGTTTCATTCTCACGCAGAAACTAACTTCCATTCAATTATATAGCATTAAGATATATGTATATATTTTTATGCAAAAATAAAGAGTCAATCTGATTTTATTATTTAGGAATTTTGTGAAAAAAGAAATAATAAATCTTTATTTGTATCTAAAAAAAATGAGATTATTGCTTAAATAAATAATATTTTTATTAATTAAATATATATAACACAAATACATGTACACAATAATTAAAACATTCGCCGTCTGCTTGTGCCGAAGGGGCGAAGGGGGGAATCAGCCCTATCCTACAAAATCGTTATCAAAGCTTCTTAGTTACATTACCAAAGCCTCTCGGTTTAGTTACAACAAACAATGCCATTACAAATTAATATCCTATTTGTGAACTGGTCGGAATTGACTAACATGAACAAATTATCGTCTGTGGGAAGAATTATATTCAATTCATTGTATATATACAATAGTTAAATTTTTTTTTAACCGATTATATTCGGGATTTACAATGGTTGCAAATATTTATTCCAGCATTTGAGAGGAGGCTATAAAGTAGAAGGATCCGGAGCGGGAACCCAGCCCGGGTTCCGGGCTGGGGTCCGGTTCAAGATACCAGCCCGGATT